TCAGAACCCCACCCAACGTTGGGGGACTCGCGGGAGGAGATTTGGGGGGAGGACCTGGGGGCTTCTTTTCGCGGGCATGGGAAAGGTAAAGATGCGCTTGTTAAAACCCCGTTTTTTACCTTTTGTTTCTTTTTTTCCCCAAACACCCCGGGTTAGACCCTGGTTGGGGGAAAACCCGGCGTGTTCCTTCCGGGTTTTTTTTTGTGGGGATGGGGGTTCAAGGTTTTTTGGATTACTTCATGCACGCCCATGGGTCCCCCCCCCCCCCCCCCGTGGAACCTTTCTTTTTGTCAGCTCTCGTCGTCCAGAGAGAAGACCAAGCACCTCTGTCACCGCCCCCGGCAGCGGTGCGTGCGGTGAGCGATATGATCGACAGGGCCGGTGCCGGCGGCGCTGGCGGTGGGGCCGCGGGGTCCGGCAGCTCGGTGGAGAGAAGAAGGTGGAAAGAGGCGGGGTTCCCAGGAAGCAGCTTGAGGTGTGTTGTTGTTGTTGTTGTTGGTGGTGGTGGTGGTGGTGTCGCTGTTGTTTGTGTTGCCGTGAGTTTTTGTTGAAACATTCGAAAAACCGTTTCGGTGTCATACGTGCATGTAGCACTGGTCCAACCGACGCGGAAAGACGCCTTCCAAGATCACAATCCAAAAAAGGATGCAATGTACGTAGTGCCACTATCATACAATATGTAAAATGACCAGGAATGGAAACTGTACGCAAGCCCATGTTTTCTTGTGTGGTCCTTGTTGTGCACGCAGCAAAGGAAATTCTACGGTAAGGCTTTTTTCCAACACCGGGGACGGCCTTTTGGGCCCAAGCTTACGTACATTTTTTTATGGTCGTATACATACAATTACTACAGCAGTATCCGTTCGAGAGGTACCACCATAGTCGAAGAGGATGGGTTGAAATTTTAAATTTTGCACAGCAGTGAGTGGACGATAAAAGTTTTGTAGTGTTCTCCCCCGTCCCCACCCGCCTTTCGATGCGACTCGCCGAATCCCTCACAACTCTTCGCGCTTGGTGATGTGAGAGCCTGGTCCGGTGAGAACCCGACGTGCTCCGTCCCGGCTGTGTAGGGATGCGAGGTCAATGGCCTACCGACTACCCCTCCGTTCGGAAATATACGGACCACTGTGGTATTCATGGTTGTTTTCGAATGGCCCTTATATTTCCCGTCACAACCGCTGCCCCTCTTCATGTTGAACTCCTTCGTCAGAAGGAGGCGCCACTAGTAAGGCATGCAAAACATGAGTCCCCCCCCCTGGTACCCCTCTTCATGTCGAACTCCTTCGTCAGGAGGAGGCGCCGCTAGTAGGGCATGCAAAACATGAGCACCCCTCCCCCCCCGGTACCCCTCTTCATGTCGAACTCCTTCATAATCAGGAGGAGGCGGTCGGCCAGCGTCGGCGAGCTGAGGTCGAACCGAAGCAGCCGCAAGTTTACAGTCATGGGGATAACGAAAGGGCAAGGGCAAGGGTGGATGTCCGACGGCGAAGAGGCGGAAGGGCTCTCCCCGATAGGGCACGAGGTAGGCGACAAGCGTGGCGTTCATTTTGGTTGTGGTTGTTTTTATCTTCCCCCGTTTTCCGTGTTTTCCGTTGGCACCGATCTTCACCTGGCCCTCACCGATAGGGCACAAGGTAGGCGAAAGGCTAAGGCTTCGCGTTCCTGTTTTTTGTTTTTACGGTCTGTTCGTTACTCTTCCCATCGTCGGTATTTTACGCCCTCTGATTGGTCGAGCGTTGCTTCGGGCGGTCGGTTCCACTCCAGTGCCCTCGCTGTGTTCCGCATTCCGGCCACGCAGCGCAGCCGCGTTCTCGCCCAGTTCGCGGCGGATAGGCTGCGCGTTGGCCGCGGGTGAGGGTTAGGGTTGGGTTGGGTTGGGTCGGCCACGGTGTGGGACATGTCTCGTAGGCGGAGCTAAGGTTCCAACATCCGGTCAGTTTCTGCTGCTGCTGCTGCTGCCGCTGGTGTCTCCAGTGCCGTGGCTGTTGATGCCTTTACTCTAATGTTGTTCGCTCGCTCTCATCCTCACCCACGCACAACGTTTTCGCTTGTGTTGCCAAACGACGAAAACACAGATCGCGTACATGAAGCAGCGGCGAGGGAGCGCGAGCAAAGGCGACAAGCCCACGGGTGGACTGGGCAGCCTGGGGGCGTGGCCTAACAAGTCCAAGAAGGATGTGGATTCTGCCAAGGTACGGTACGGTACGGTACGGTCAGGAACGGTATGGTACGGTCGTGTACGGTATGGTGCGGTAGTGTACGGTGCAGTACGGTAAATTTGTACGTTCGTGAAAGGGACTCTGTGCGGTGCGGCACGGTATGGTACGGTTGGGCACGATATGGTACGGTACGGTAAGGTTGTACGTTCGTGACATCGCCGCAACTCATGCGCGTTCTGGTGTTGTATGCGGTCTGGTGTTCGTTCAGGGGGAGTATTGGTGTTGTGTTTTGCGCGTCGCTGATTGGTAGCCTGGAGGCATGGCCGACACAGCTTTTTTGAAGGGCACAATGGACGTACTTTCAGCGCATGCATGAAACTTAAACTTTGTCAAGCTTGCCGGGCAGTAACGCCCGTCACGGCATCACGAGACTGACCCGTTACAGAAGCGAACGACAAAGAAGTGACCAACAAACACCTGAAAAAGAGAGGTGAAAACAATAATACTTCGAGTGATCGATAGCCGCTGCACATGGCACTAGGCAACGACCAGAGTACATGTAGCGTTGATAACTGCGTGCACGAAACTCTCAACAGAGCAGTCCTGAGCTTTCAAGGGCGGGGTATGCAGGGTGGGTTGCCGGTGCACGGAGCGGACGAAATCCCGTGGCACGGATTGTACGCATATACCGAACCCCGAGTCGTTTTCTTCTGTCTTTATT